TTAGTACTGATACCTGTAAATAAATACCGTAATTACATCGGACAGACGAAGATAATAGTTCTGCCCCGTAAATATGTAACTGCCTTCTGGCATGGCGAACTGAGACAGCTCCATTCCAAGCAAAATCGAGTTGTGATTTATTGCAGCAAGTTCTTATTTGACCCGTTGTCCGACCTGATCATAACGCATGACATGTGGTGGATTACCGTTTCTTCTCAGTTTTGTAGGTTGTTTCTTTGTCTATTTAAAGACGTTTTGTCAGTTGTTTCTATTATACATCGTCGAACAATAGGAAGATAATGAACAATCGATAAGTATGTGAAAAGGAAGCGGTCGTAGCCTATTTTAAGATCTTATTCCACATTTTCCAGGAAGATAGGAGAAAACTCACTAAAGCCCTCAGCGGTTCCCTAAATCCACTTTAATGTCATTTTTCCATCTATGGTTCGATCTCTCAACCAGAAGTTTCACAAGATAATTCTCTACTAAAACGATAAATCAAGATATAAATATATAATTTAAATTTAATTTATAGAACTTTGTCTTCTGTAAATCTGAATTATCCGACTGTTTCAGACTCTTATTTCTAACAGTCGAAGTTTCCGGCGCCATTACATTGTAAACAACTTTCTGATACCATGTCCTTTTAGCACCGGTCTAGAACACCGAGATTAACAGCCGCGGGGACCCGTTGCGCTGACCACGTGACACCCTCTATCCGCAAAAGTTGGCACTAGCTTCGCAGACAAGCGGCGGTCGCTCGGTCGGTATAGTTTGCTTGCGGTATACAGGCCACGGAGATTTTTATTGTCCTTTTAGCACATTACAGAGAGGACTGAAAAGTCTTTCCCGATGATAAATATAGGTATTACATATCTACATTACATACTACGAACTTATAAACTAACACGTATGCACAGTATTAGTACCATTGATACCTGACAAATTCTCCAAATTGTGATCAACGTTACCTACGACGATTCACACATCAGAGATATTCATCTGCAGAGAATATGAACATTACTGTCTTGTGGGAAGTGACACAGCTAACTTTGATAGATAGACACCAACAGTTAGGGGAAACATGCTGCCTCCATCTTCAGTTCAGTGCGTTTCAATGTACACGGCACTGTATCCCAGACGACAGTAAACATAGTACTAGTTACCGCCGTGAAAACATGAAATCTCATACAGAAGAGAACTTCAACCACAAAAACAAAGATTAATACCCTGACAAAATGACATAGTAGACACATTTAAGAATCGAATAACTTATTGAAATCTGCCACCACATTTTTCTTCTTAACAGTTCTAATGGTTTAAATTAGATTTAGGCATAACAGCCAATTAATTCATGATATATTATACCATATACTTACATACATGTGTATATGTTTATCGTATATACCTGTTCTTTACACAATTGTGATATATGACATTTTAATTCATCAACATATTTTGATCATATCGGTCACTTCATCACATGTTATTTGCCTTTAGGGAAACTGCAGCTTCCATAATAGACATGGTCAATATCTGCGTAGAAGTTAAAATCCCTATGTTAAAGGTATATAAACTGTGTTGTACACTGAAATGGTCTTAATTTAGTTACTACATTTTAATGTTACTACGTGTAATATAATCACCCGAAACATTTGCTAACACGTATAATAAATTTACGTTTATAATAATTATATTAAGAGCCACATGACCAATACAAGGGCAGATCTATACAGCACACAAATGTTGTTATCCATCAATCCAACTATGGCTCTACAGCCTTTGTGGATCTTGGCAGCCTTTTCAGTTTCTTAATCCATACACAGTCTGTATGACTCCTTGGATGGGAGATCAGCCCGTCGCAAGACCTCTGCCTACACGCAGAACAACACAAACACAGAATAAGAGTGGGATTTGAACCCACGATCCCAGTGTTCGAGCGGGCGAAGACGGTTCATGCCTTGGACCGTGCGGCCACTGTGATCGGCAAACGTTATAATTAATGTAAAAATCTTATATACTGTAATTGTTTTATAATACAATTTCCATCATTTTATTAGACTAATATTTCATTCGAATATCGTAACGTGATAATCCGGTACATAACTGCATATTTTTAGTGTAATGCTGACACAATTATTATACATATTATTTAATAAAATGAAATTAATTGTGTTGGGAAAGGATTCCTGAGCAACCGACAAAGCAAGCTGCAACCGTGCCGCTGTCAGCTGGTTACTGTACTGTTTACGTAGCTTCGTCTCGAAAGTGGGTGGATACCAGATAGCACCACAAGTGAGTGCTCCGACATCGATTTCCGATATGCTCATCCCCGTCGAGACCGCCCACGCTCGAGGAAGTGAGAGAGAAGTAGTCGTGGATGGGATAAATAGGCTTACTTGTTATAGACCTGTTAGACGGCAGATACAGGTCTACTGGTTCATAGGCCCTACATGATAAGCAAAGGAAAATGCATTGACTGCAGATACAAGTCTACTGATTCATAGGCCCTACATGATAAGCAAAGGAAAATGCATTGACTGCAGATACAAGTCTACTGATTCATAGGCCCTACATGATAAGCAAAGGAAAATGCATTGACTGCAGATACAAGTCTACTGATTCATAGGCCCTACATGATAAGCAAAGGAAAATGCATTGACTGCAGATACAAGTCTACTGATTCATAGGCCCTACATGATAAGCAAAGGAAAATGCATTGACTGCAGATACAAGTCTACTGATTCATAGGCCCTACATGATAAGCAAAGGAAAATGCATTGACTGCAGATACAAGTCTACTGATTCATAGGCCCTACATGATAAGCAAAGGAAAATGTATTGACTGCAGATATACGTCTGCTGATTCATAGGCCCTGCATGATAAGCAAAGGAAAATGAATTGACTGCTTCTGTTACATTTTAAAATGCGTAGACTTCGCAGTGACAATATTCCACGTGATTTTATCAGTTATTAATTTCAGATATTTTACCGACACTTTTCCTTTGCCGCTTCAAACACGGGTCACTAAATGCCAAAAAATCCCTCTTAAATATAAGCGTATTTGTCATTTTACTTACTTACTATTAGTGTTGTAGTTATTAGCGTTATTACAATAAAAACAAATGGATATTATTTAAGGAAAATGTATCACGAGTGGGTTGCATGAGAAATGGGTTCAAAAATTTAGTTGAGAGACCTGAAGGAAAGAGACTACTTGGAAAAATTCGGGGTAGAACGAGAGCAATATTCGCATGGATCTTTAGGTAATGGGGTGGAATTTACTGCTCAGGAAAATGGCGAGTAGTGGGCTATTGAGAACACCGTAAGGGACCTTCGGATTCCACGAAGGTGTGATATTTCTTTACTAGCGGAATGACTGTTATCTTCTCATTCTGCTCCATGGAGCTACTTAACTATATTATTTCTTTCACAGGGAAGCATTCATTCCTACATATGAGGCTATACTCCATAGATTCGAAGGTTTTAAACCTATGCTACAACTCCTCGCCTTTAAGATATAAAATCTAGTAGGCCTTTATCACACGGACCTATAATATATAATTCAATATTAATTACTTCTTATTCAAATAACATCACTCATTAATGCTTTCTATTAATTATATAGTTAATAAGCATTATATTTGGAGTAAATCACAATGGATACATTAAGATTAATTACTCCAATATCGATTTCAACTCAGCTGATACCTACTCATACTATAAACTGTGTGTTCACCAGAACGCCCTCCAACCAATGGGGACCGTATGAAATTAAACGTTTTCTTAAAAAAAAAAGTCGGCATTCAAACATGAATACTTTGGGGCGCTGCAAGCATCGTAACCGGAACGATTTTTGGATTGTTACGGCTGATATTAAGTTCAGAAAGAAAGCGCACTTTATTTTGAAAAAATCATAATGGAGATGCCGCAAAACTGTGAGGTCTATAGAGCGGGAACAGGAAATCCTCCTCCTCCTCCTCCTCCTCCCACTCCTCCAACTTACAGCATAGGTCACATGTGAAATGCTTCGTTTCACTTCATTTTCTTAACCTTAGACAGTCGGTAGGACTCCATGGACTGGGGATCAGCCCGTCGCCAGGCCGCTACCTGACACAAACACAGAATAATATCAGGGTCGAAAATGGTATGATCTTGATATTAGGCAGGGCCGAAAATGGTCTGATCTTGATGTTAGGCAGGGCCGAAAATGGTCTGATCTTGATATTAGTTGTGTTGTGACGGATATAATAAAGAAATCGTATATTGTAACACAACAGGATGCATGAAATGAAAATTACAAACAGACATTCATGCCTTCAGCGGGTTTCTAACCCACGATCCCAGTATCCAAGCGGGCGAAGGCATCTCATGCCTTAGACCGTGCGGCCATGAAGAGGACGTATGTTTCAAACTAATTTACCCTGGAAGGACGGAAGGACAATTCGAGGTTCGTATTTAGGTTGCATTTGGCGAAAATACAATTCACGAAATTAAACTGCTTAGGAAAATCGTACGGAAATTGTTATGAAGGGGGAAGCAGACAGGTCATTAGAAGAATCCAGGACTTCTAAGTTGTAATCGAGAAGTCTGAAAAAAATAATATGCTTAAAACGGGTGAAATTTCTTAAGTTCGCTTCGTTTTATCTTTTTAAATACTGCACATCAAGATTCGGTCATGCATTATTTATCACAAACTACACAACTTTAAAGACAGACCTATTCCCACAGAACTTGTAACACGATATACTCCTATCAATGGAATATTTGTTCGTAAACCTGAAACCTGTTTCTTTTTTTTTTTTTTTGCATGAGAATTAAAAAATATTACAATGCAGTCCAGTCGGAGAGCTAAGAGAATCGTTTGCAGAATTCCGATATTGCAAAGCTGGGCGACTCTCTCTCTTCCCCCCCCCCCTTTACCCTCAGGCTGACAGACCTGAACAGTTGGTCGGTAGGTTAGTCGTGTGGCTGTCGCCCGCCCGTCCGCCCATTCTTGTATGGCGGTCCGCCCAAGTCGGTGATAGAGGTAGCATAACTTTTAGGGGTTATTAAACACGAGAGTCTTGGCTTCTGTGCCTTTTTCCGATCAGCTGTTAAGGTTTCATGTCCGCGGGAACTGCTGGTGGTGCTCCTGTGACTGTGCTAACAAAACATAAAAGAAAACGCGGGGTTTACTACACAGATCAAGAATTTATCTCGAATTTCGCTGCTTTTGGAAAGGTTACACCGCTTCGCGCGATTCGAACCAATGTGTACTGTCATGTGTTCCAATAAGTAATGTGCCCTCGCTAATCCACATTCATTTTAACGTTCCTACTTAGAGATACTGAGATGAAGAAGGTAAGCATTTAATACTGAAACCTCCCTGTGTGTGTATTTAAATGTTCTTTAAGAATATCTGAAAAAACCACTGCTTGTATCGGCCTTAGTCATGCTTGTTTGGTTTATTTTATGAATTTGCTCTTTCAATTAATGATAAGTGTATAAGTGTAGATATACTGCTGCCCATAAAGGATCTTGAAAATATCTGTCTCGGAATTATAATCAGCGATCAGCAATCAGTTATGCAGGTCCCACTGTTGACATTCGTCAAATATTGCCTTTATATTAGCTCATTGCATTAAGCGAAACGTTATAATCGATGGTCTACGTAGCCCATTACAATAAACTCTTATGTCCTGAATTGTGACTACGAAACCTGTTTGGACAATAAAGGGTGTAAAAGTGTTTGGCAACAGTCTGGCTTTGGTCTCTAACTCAAAAATCTGTCTGGAAACGTATACTTCATACCTACAGTCATGTCGTCAATAAAATGTGTTACTATGAGTAAACTTCAAGGGCGAAGAAAACATAGCCTTGCAGCTATGTTTCAACATGCCCAAACCATTGGGGAGAGACGAGAATTATAAAATGACTACTTCGCCATTTTTACGCACGACCTTCATTTTCCTATGAAGACAATTGTCATTCAAAACGTGAAATAGAGAAATTTTATTAAAATTTGAATCATATAACTCTGTGGTTAAAAACGACCACTATTTTTTTTTCTGAATAGGAATATTTTACAGGCCTACCATCTTGTAAATATGGGGTTCATGCAAGACAGTACAAAATTACAGTAAGCCCTATTTAATTATTCACCATTAAACTTGTGCTCTTACTCATAATCCTCGAAGGAAAAATTCAAACTAAAATCCACATTTTCTTTATCGTCAAGTTTTGCAGCCTGAATAATTAAATTAAACTACATTCGTTTTCTTTTCTGCTCTGTGATTCTAAATAAAGAACGAAGTACGTAATTCAAATTTTCCATCCTGAAACTCAAAATTTGATAGTGTAGTCAGCCGTCCTGAGAACTATATAATATTAAATAATTTAATTGAACGAAGACAATCGTTCACCGGGGCACGAGGTAGCATAGTTGGTTGAGGCGCTATGCTACAAACCGGAAGGTCGCGGGTTCGAACCCCAATGAGGTGGAATTTTTCAATTTACCTAATTCTTCCAGCCGCACTATGGCCCTGGGGTTGACTCAGCCTCTAACAGAAATGGGTACCAGGAATATTCCTGGGGGCAAAGGCGGCCGGCGGGCAAGGCTGAGAACCTCACCGCCATTTATGAGCCGACTGTCTAGATAATATAGGAGCCTCAACATCTCACAACTCTATGGGCCTCAACGGCCTGTTACAGGGATACGTTTACAACCTTTCATTAATAGTGTCATTTGCTTTGAAGTTTCTACGGAATCGCGAAATTGATGCACAGGGCAAATTTACATTCTGGCCCGTACTCTGAAGAATGTGGCCGCTTAGTGAGGAATATGTACTCCCATCGACATGGGATCGGCCTCACAGGCTTCATCTCGTAGTTGTGGAGATCACATGGCGGCAGAATAACACAGAACTAAAATAACAAATAATAAACTCTGGTGGTGTCGGAAATAACAGGATAAACCTGATTCTATTACAACATAAATCATATCAGGTATTGCAGCTCTCACATTACACAATAATAAGACACAATATCACATGTTAGTCTGGGCGTTGTCTCAAGGTAATAAACTTGCATATGTCATTTGTACTTAATAACAGCATTAGCAGAACTCCAGTCATTTTGCGACTTCCGAAGTCTGAAGATTAGCATACACTTTGATTTAAAATGACATCACGTAGTAATTCCACCCATGTGCAGTCTTTCTAACGGCCAGCAGCTGAGCGAATCCTCAAATTAGAATATCATGTGATAATGATAAAATATATTAACAGCTCTTTGCCCTACTACAGCCACATGTTGTACTGGCCTTAAAATATGGAAACTTATTTCGTTCTACATTATTAAGAGTATATATCTATATACATTTTATACATTCTCTCTTATCTCCTACAATCTCTGCTTTCGACAGTACTGTTAAGCAAACTAATAAATGAACATCAGTGCCTTCCTTGCAAATAAACTTACACTCCCGTGTGCAAATATCGCTTGACTATAACGAACAGCTAACCCCTGTAACATAACAATTTGCAATTTAAAGAAAGAAGAGAGGAAGCGTGTAAACTATGCATTCTGTGTGACTCTGTAACTCTTTCGCCTTACTTAATGTCTGTTTTATTGGTCATATATATCTTTTGTTGCAAAAAATAAATCAAATTTTGGAATAGCCAGGCTACAGATATCACACTGCAAAGAATTGGGAAACAATTTTTGTTTTCGTAAAATTAAAAAAAAAATGTTTCAGATTAAATTTGTAATTGATAACAAGATAGCTGCGCAACTAGCGGTGTCTCAAGAAGGACTGAGCTCCATGAAGTTAGTTCGTTAGTAATAAGATGTGTATTTTTGTAACGTATACTTTTTTTGCTTGATTCTCTTTGTATTTTTTCTTTCTCTGTTTTAATGGAAATTAATACAGGGGTTATATGCACGTTGAGCCCGACACAAACAAAAATTAAATTTGCTGGACGACTTTCAATGTACACCAAAATAGTATTCTTCTCATCAATTTCCATTACTTAGCTTTGGGGCTGAAGCATTTGGGCGGACGGTTTAACAAACAGATATACATTTCATAGTTTAGGAACTTCCTTCAAAGAATGCACAGTAAACCAAATTTGCTATTTTCGCTAGGCACTGGACAGCTGTTATATTTGATATGGGATTGTATCAACGTGACCAACTTACACGAATGTTGTAACAAGGAGCCCCTGGATACAAGAATATCAGGACAGACCGGCGGGAGCAGTGGGGGGGGGGGTCTCCTGTCGGATCAATAAAGAGTAGCCAAAACTGTACCTTGGCACTGACAGCAGATTTCCATGTTCCCAAGTCTAAAACTAGGTCACAATCCACCAAGAAGGTGGGGCCCACTGCAATCGCGCAACGCGATTGAGCCTCCGGGATCAATTCAAGCTAGTCCAATCAGCTTCAGGCGTGTAGTGGAAGAGGCTGAGCACACAAAAGTCGTCAGTTGTCTCCCAGGCTAAACGCATCCATTGTGGTTCTTTATTTTCTCAAATTGCTGCATAGAGTGAAGAAACTGCCAAACAGAACCTCGCGATTGAGCAGTAAATAACGTTGCTTCGTACTCGAGTGGTTCCGTACTCGACAACCAGCTATTCTGATTCTGTTCAAACTATTTTAACTGCAGAATTTGAATACAACAAAATAGAAAGATGAATGAATGTATAAGGGATGGGCCTTCTCGGCCCTTGCACCGCGACTTACAGTGAGACATTGTGCTTCTAAATGGAAAGATGATCACGAAACGCCATTCAGAGATCGTTGCCTGTTTCAAAATCCTGACATTCACGTGTCATGACAGCATAACCAAGAGGTACATCGGTCAGGTAGCTAATAATCCGGCCAAGATTCGAAGCAGTTATCCCTTAAATACAAGTCTAGGGCGATAAATAATATACCAGTTTCACATTATCCTCTCATCTAAGCCTAGGACTCTTACCTTCAATTATTAAGACCAATATTCTGCACCCATTTCTCACCATTTTCACGTGTGCGAAGCTCAGCTTACATCAATCAGCGAAAAATTGGCTCAACAGGTTTCTGACTTGTATTTTGGAGATTTCCAGTTCTAATCTCAGCCGGAAAACTGATTGAAGTTTTTCATGGTTTCCCTCACTCCTTCAATAGAAATTTGTGCAGTGCCTTAAATTAGACCTCCAGCGCTTCCTCCCAAACACTCTCAGATTAATCGGTCTTCCTCAAATTTGACGCTATACAGTATGAGTTACAGACAAACAAAACAAAAAACAAACTCCGTGGTTTCAGTCCGCAAGCGAACTATACCGACCGAGGGACCGCCGCTTGTCGGCGAAGTTAGTTACAGACAGCGTCGTTAAATATGCCAGAAAATACATAAAATCGATCTTGATCACATTTGGTTGGTGAAGAATTTATATTATGAATTTCCAACTATGGTACAACCTTATGATATGTTTAGATAATTAATTTGTAGCAACTGCCCCAATAGCTCCGTCACCATAACACTCGAAGCATTCACCAATACTGAACAGTTATTTTCACAAATAAATAAACTTCAACAAAGTCAGTGGAATTTACCATTGGGCAGAATTCTCTTTGTTACTAGGGATATTGAAACTGAACGTAGTAAAGAGTTCTGTGCTCGGCGTGCAGATGAATTCAATATTTTAATACCCCAGAGATTTGAGTTTGTATACACTGCCTTACTTGTTTTAAACCTGAGCTAAAGCGGCAGGAGCGTGATGCTGATCACTCACCTCCATCTAGTTCCAAGGCCAAGAACAATGTAACTATACCTCCATTTTCTCATAAGTCTTCATGACAAGGTGCGGTGCTTAATTAATTACAAGGACATTATTGTAAGATTTGAGGCTTTCACGGCGGTGACTATGAAGAAAGCAGTCTTTTGGGATTTGGCACCGTGTATAAGTGGTGTTAACCGACGTTTCGGAGGAACGTATCGCCTCCATCTTCAGGGTAGAAGAAAATATAAGAATTCTGCAAGCGAAGAGACCGTGAGAACCGGTAAAAGCAGTCTGCTTTAACTTCAACACCAACATGCCCCTCTAGAAGAAATTTTAGAGACCCGTAGGTCCAACTGTCCAACCACCCACCTTTTCGTTATATCAGACACCGCACCATCAGCTCCGGGTTTGGAAGTACCTGTTCAGAATCTCGGGGTGTGTACTGGTTACCCTTAGTGAGACTTTGGTGCGTTATGCCAACTTTTACATCTTTAGTAGAGCCTCCCGCCATTCGGAAGTCATCACAAAACTCCATTCTCTTCATTCATATGGTGATCTTCCGGTTGTGACAACATGTAGTCTGGTGGGCCTGTAGCCACAAAATGAATCTTCATTGTCGCGAAAACCGCGAACATTTATCACATTTACCCCGCTCTTTTTCGGGTGCCACAAAAAATTTTTAGCTTATAAATAAAGGAACAAATAAATTATTCATAAACGGTGAAGCTAGCATCATCGTGACTATCAGTTTTTTGTGATGTGAATTAATAGAGCAAGTTCATGGTCAGGCTTATCCGTGATATGCCAGCTCAAGTCTCGATCGAAGTCCGTTTTTCTCATCAATCCATGAGAATTACGAGTAACATCTTAAAGTAAGCCACAAGCCTCTTCCTCTCTTTGTGCAATTTTCAGTTTGTCGTCACAATAATCATCATTCCATGCAACTTGTTCCGACATTGTTAAGTAATGTAAGAATAAAAAGATGCACTGAGCGCACATATAAAATTTCTAAATAGGCTTCCTTCTGTCAGAGGATCTTCTTATAGTCAACTTAACAACCATCTTCATTTGGAATTACAAATGAATTATACCGTGACTAGCTTAATTTCGTATTAGATGTTTAAATTATATATATATATTTAAATTATGGTTGTCTGTTTTGTTTGAGATCTTCTGCCTTAACGTTCTGAGGGTATTTATGAGAGATGGATTTTGTGTTCCACTGCTCTACTCGTGATACAATTATTTCACAGATATGGAAAATCTAAACAAGAATTAATTGGCGTTTTCTTGAACTTCAGCGCAAAATGACTGAATTATGCAAGAAATATGTGCATCAACTGAGGTTGGAGAGGAATTTAAAGATGAAGTATACTGTGATATGACAGCTGAAAGCCGGAAGAGAGGAAGAGAAGAAGACATCCGTTGCTAAGTAACGGCGCAGTAATCACGTGACGAGAGATAACAGAAGGCAATTGCTAGGCCATGGTTTGTTGAACACGTCTCCTTGGCAAAGGATATGTACACGAAAAATAGAGAAACTGGTGAAGACTAAACTGAAGCCCGTACGGAGCCTAGACAGTCTTCCTTTGGCGGAAGCATGAGAGAGGGAGAAGTCACCATTGCTGGAAGAGTTGAGTAGCAACACCTAGTTGAGTCGTGAGGCAATCACTGGCCAGGAAGGACGTGAACAGAGCGATTGGGAATCGTTGTTAAGCAACGACTGGAGAAGACACAGCAGACTGACAAGACTTGGAGCATGCCATAGTGAATTGCAAATACTCTGAATTGGTGCCAGCGCTGTAGTTACTTGTAATTACGGTTTGTAGTAGTTCAATGAATCCAAACGCCTTGCCTAGTCACTAACATACGTGACAATACGTACACTCGTGTTCATAAGCTTCTGTCATATGAAACTGAAAGAGATTCTGCTCCTATAACAGTTTGTAAACTCTATTATAAATATGAGTGTAGCATTTTGAAATATGAGCGTCAGCGTAAGGCTGACACCTCATTGCGATATGTGAGCCGATTGTCTAAAATATGTGGGAGCATCGAAGTCTTAAAACCCTAAGGGCCTACACAGCCTTTTACAGGGACAGCTTTACTTCTTTTTAATGGCTGCTTTTCTGATAATTATACATAAATAGGTCTATGTTTGTTGGAATAGAAACAGATGTTCCTAATGTTAACATTGTTATCATTATGCTTTAACACTACAAACTCTAGTTTAAAGTTTTGAATTCGGAACACCTACCTGTTTCCTTATCAGTATAGATAAAGTTGTCCCTGTGCTTAACTAATTAAGTACTACGCCATGAAGGCGTATAGGGGAGTAGATGTATAGATCCACGTATACTTAAGCAAAATAAATCACGTGTTTAATTCTTCTGTGAATTTTATCATAACGAAGTAAATGACAATTTTAAAGGAAAATAAAATATTCGAGGTACCTACTTCACATGTACGAGGAAGTAAGCAAAAGAATTTCTCACTTTACCCTCTGACATTTCGAAGATATTTGTAGACTGATCGGCTGATTCCTGCTACTTAACTCACAACAATAAACCTATGGCGAGGAGCATCACAGAAATATAACAGCTACTGTTGTCACCGAGTATTCTAAATTTAACTTAAGAATGAGAGAGCGAGAGAGAGGAGCTGTTACAAAATTTTGGCTTCTCACCAGTTCTTGGTGAGTAGGGTCAGCTTTTTTTTTTAACAGTGGACATTTTGTTGGACAGGTAGCTTCGACCTCGCTCCTAAAAGTCACCGATGAGGGGGAACTTTCCTTGCGCAATGAAAGAGGACATGGCGTATATTATGTTGACTGTCTGTGTCCTACCGAATGTTTCTGATAATTACAAATTTTTCCAATACGAAGTCTTTTTAAGGATATAGTGAATTTATGATACTGCTTTACACTGTACTCCCAGGGATCAGTAATTTTACTCACTACTTATTTAGAATTAAACATATATTCATTATCGAATCTCCGCGACTGTAGACGTGGTAAAGATAAGGACATGCAGGACGAAGCGTGCCAAGAAGGACCCTGTTATGACCTTCACAGCAAGGACTGCTATGATTTTATCAGCTAAGGAAATTCCCCGAAAAACTTAATAATTACGGCTAACAGCAAGCTTACAGATACCACTGTTTTGTTCGTTTCAGGTTGAACTATACTTCAAGTTAGTCTTCTGGATCAAGACTGCCACAGAAGTATTGTAGCAGTGAAGAAGGTCCAGAGTTGACTGAGGGAAGACACATTCCCACAACGAACTGCCCTCATAAAATCAGAAATATCTGCGTCACTCAGACATTCGTCTTTTGTTTCTGTATGCATGTGCGTGTTTGTGTGTCTGCTATACAAACAAAAATCTCTCAACAAGCTGTGACCATCATACCAAAGGTCTTCTTCCTTCCTACAAATTTTAGTAAAGAGCACAGACCAAATTCCAACACGTTCGCGTGAAACGTAATCAAAACAAACGTCCAAGATGCATATAGAAGTTCAAGTGGCTCTCAATTTCGTCATCTCATACTTGTACAACAAACTTCCAAGACGAAGGGTAAACATCTTCGGCGAAGAACTAGAGAAAGCACTGAAGGACAAATTCAGGGGTCACTGGTACCCCGAGAAACCCTTTAAAGGATCAGCATTCCGGTGTCTGAAGACCGGTGACCCGGTGGATCCCGTGCTAGACCGCGCAGCCCGTGAGAGTGGCGTTCCTATCCAAGATGTGCTGGAGAACTTGCCTCAGGAGTTGGCTGTGTGGGTGGATCCAGGTGAGGTGAGCTATCGCATTGGCGAGAAAGGCGCTGTCAAGGTCTTATTCAGCGAACTGGCAGACCCACATGATGACTCCTCTGCGGACCGAGAGGTTACCAAAACCTTCAACCCAGAGGCACAGTGCTTCAGACCGATTGAGGCTGTGGGCTCATCGTTAGGAGGTCTCAGTCTATCACCCAACAAGTCTTCATCTCCATACTCCGGTATGTCAGCGGGTCCAGTCAGGGTCCAGGCAGTGTCTGTAGTGCCAGTGTCAGCCGGTGAAGGTCAGGGAGTCGTAGTGACTTCCGGCTCTGGAACAACCACAGTTACCTCTTCAGCGTCCTCGCCTACCCCACTGACGGCTCCCTACAAGGGATCCCCAAGCCCGGTGACGTCTTTCATCCCCCGGTCTACTGCACCGCTCACCTTCACTACGGCTACGTTCGCACAGACCAAGTTCGGCAGTACCAAGCTTAAGACCAGCAGCAAGCGAGCAAACAGGTAAGCACGCCTGAAACTATATTTAGGTTCTTGGAACTTAGAATGTAAGGAGTCTATACAGGGCACGTTCACGGAAAACCGTCGCAAGAAAGTTAGCAAAGTATGTATAAGTTAGATTCTGTGGGATTGTAGGAGGTACGATGGGACAATGGTGGCACTGAACCAGCAGGCAGTTATAAATTTTTATCTGGAAATAGGAATGAGAATCATAAATTATGGGCAGGATTTTTCATACATAGTAAAATCATATCAGCAGTTAAAGAGGGTAAAATCTGTTAGTGATAGCATGACGTATGTACTATTAAGACGAAGCATGTGCAGTATTGTACTTGATGTGCATTCCCCAAAAGATTATGAAGTTGATGATACAAAGGGTAGCTTCTATGAGGAACCAGAGCGTGTATCTGAATAATTCTTCATTGAACACAAGAAAATTTTAATAGGATATTTAAATGCCAAATTAGATAGAAAAGATATTTTCAAACCGACAACTGGGAACGAAAGCTAATATTAATGGGGTTGGAGAATTGTCTCCGAACGACTGATACTTATTAAGAAATTGTTTATAGCCTCTTGTTAAGTCAGTAAAAAAAAAAAAAGTAAAGTAAAGCTATCCTTGTAACAGGCCGTGAAGGCCCATAGGGTTGTAAGACGTTGAGGGTCCCACATTATCTAGACAATCGGCTCAAAGATGGCGCACTATGACCCCAGGGTCATAGTGCGGCTGGAAGGATTAGGTAAAATGAAAAAAAAATCAAATTACCTCATCGGGACTTGAACCCGCGACCTTCCGGCTTGTAGCATAGTGCCTCAACCAACTATGCTACCGAGTGCCCCCCCTCTTGTTAAGTCAGAGATGCTAATATTCTAATACCGTACCTGAGAACACAAATTTTCCATAAGGCGGTCTTAGAAAGATACCTAGAGCATGCGGGGAATGGAGCTTCGTAAAAAAAACGAAACTGAAGGAAAACCGTGTGCCGAAATGAAATTTTGTGTCTTGTCACGTTCTGGAATTAATAAGACATTAAACTGACACGCAATTATCCTTTGAAAATACGTACATAGCAGCGCGTGACAATCTGGATGGTGACTTTCGAANATTCCCCCCCCCCACACACACACACACACACACAATCATTTTCACATAGAAACAGAGACTTAAGTTCCAGGCGATGTCGGAAGAATAGAAGTTCAGTATGGAGCTCAAGTTAAAATTCTTATAGGCTGTTTAATTTTGTTGAACATGAAGTGCAATTAACCCCAAAACAAATAGCACTTAGGAGCTGTGATAGCGTAGTCAGTATATTGACGAGCTAGAGGTTGGACGACCGAGGGGATCGGAGTTCGAGTCCCGGTAGGGTCAAGAATTTTCTCTTTCCCACGTCGTGCAGACCGGTTCTGGGGTCCACCCAACCTCTTATCCAGTGGGTACCGGGGGTAAAGCAGACAGGGCGTGAAGCTGACCACTCACCTCCAGGTGGTGCCGAAGTCAAGAAAATATGGCTCTATACGAGCCACTCGTACATCCACTCCCCCATAATTGGTTAAGCACAGGGACAACTTTACATTTTTACATTTTACTAGTTGCACTTAACCGCAATTCGACAGATGACATGTTACTAGCCAGTGAGAACCCGTTATTGAAATATAATTATGCATTGCATACAAGCCACAAAAAGGGCAGTTCTCATTATGTGTCGATAAAATTAGTTGTGTTCGCACTGAAGAAAAGAAAACTTAATTCTAGACACTTCAGAAGGATATCCGTTATCCAGTACATACGAATCGTTTGCCCCTCCTTTCATGCTTCCCTTCCTTGCATCACGCTGACGCATACGAGTATATTCCGCCCTATAACGCCTGAAGTGCGTTGTAAAGGAAATTTTATCTAAAGCGCTCCAAAGAGGAACCCCCGAACTCTACCGGAATATACGGACAATCTCCAAAATGTCGCACCGGCGCGTGTTATTCACACACCGGGCAAGGTCTAAAGAAAATGTTCCCATAAAGACAATACTCAGTTTTCACATACGGTACTCACTCTCCTCCCTCTCATGTTCCCGTCGTGTTTCTTTATCACCCTCCCTTCCTTCCGATTTTTATCACAATTTTCCTTTCTTTTTCCATGTTATTTCAGCAGCCGTAATTCATATTCTAGCATACTAACAAAATATTACTCATTAAAACATTCAAAATACAAGCAACTCCTACTTACATTACGCACTCCCTGTGCTGCCTGTCCCTGACTATCGAGGAAGTGTTACTTTAAGCGGTAAATTTGTGGTCTCTCACGTGCCTTGCCTCTTGTTTACAGAATGTCCCCTACAGAGTTCTCCAACTACATCAAACAACGTGCGATCCAGCAGCAGATTCACCACCACCATCACCACCATCACCACCAAGCAGCGCCACCGTCCCCCACCGGGCGCTCGTTGTCACCTAACACAGCAGCAGCAGCTGCAGCTGCGGGACAGCCGCCCTCAGACCCGACACGTTACTTCTTCCAACCCGCTGGCCCGTACCATCCACAGTTCGCGCACCGCAATCTCTTCGAGGCGGCCGCAGCCGCTGCTTACATGCCAGAACTGTACCCTGGCGCAGCAGCCAAGTTTCCTGGAGCCACAGCGTCGTCCTATCTAGACCCTGCCTCTATTGGTCACCAGTTCTACAATGGAGCTGCGACCAACGCCAACAACCCTGGTAGCGCCCAGGTCAGTAACAGTACCACGTCTTCGACAGCTCCGCAAGACAACGGAAAGCAACTTCTGGATGGCCTCAACAACTTCGGCTTGGGCTCCGTGACTCCTTATCCGCCCAGTCCCTACCAACATCTCCTTGTGGCAAACTAACCTCTCAGAAGGACTGTTTTTTTCAATCCTTCCCTAGAAAGTCAATTCTGCAAATGACTCCAAACTACTACGGCATTAACCCTTTGAAGCATAAAGTTCGCCTAAGTAATTTTTAAAAATTCAGTTCCTATCACTCACAAAACACACCTCGTCTCGCATTGTGGTCTTCTGAGTTTTGACACAGTGCAGATCTAGTGTCGTAGGTGGTCGTCTGCAAATGACGGAAGAATGTTACTCCGAAAACTTGATACCCACCTAAACGTCTGTACAGTACCGCAACCCAAAAGACCACAATCCGAACACACGACAGTGAACACCTCAAATCTTTCACGGTGTCACCATTACAAAGATCAATTTTTTAGTGCTCTTTAATGAAATAATTTCTGTTTATTCTGAAAATCATATGCAATCCACAGATACATTCAGTAGCAAAATTAAAGAGATCTTAGTGTTAAAGTAGGTGGTACACTTAGTTACCTATGGGGTTTAAAGGGTTAACAACATACCCTCTGCAAACTATATCAAAACTACGTCCCCTAGCCTTCAAGTCTGCTGCATTTATATTCACATTTTATCCTCGTGTGTGCCTGCGGATGTTTATTCTTACATCTAGAAATCGAGTATAAAGAGAATCTCGCAAGTGAAACCCCAAAACTTGTCAAACAAGAATTCAGCAGATTCGCTTCAAAAGCGATAATTTCAGGTTGGAAGTAACTCAATGCAAATCCAGACGGCGACCAGCTCCGTAATATGCTCCACATTTAACACTAAATCTCGACACAGTGACTATAGATACTGCTGTATATACGAAAACACTGGGATATCCTCAGTCGCGAGGCCCGCAGTGGTGTAACAGGGCGGCGAAGAGAAACAGCAATGCAATTGACGACAGTTCAGATTCAGCAAGAATAGGATCGGTTACCTTAGCAATCAGACATCCACACAGAGGGTGTAGATTTGTAGCTGGTATTTGCATAGGCCTATATGCGTACTTGTTATTTCCCTTATATATTATGTTACTGCACATGAATTCTTGAATATATGTACTCCAAACAGAAAAGACTCGTCCATTAATGATCAATCTTAGGATAGAGCAACAACAAAAAATTTATATCCGAAAACGTTGTCCACAGACCTGCAACTAGTTGCAAGTACATCCATAATATTTTTAAATTATATTTATTGGTGTGCCTAAATTTAATATGCAAGGAGTAGTAAAGAATTGGGGTTACATTTCTAACAAGGCACTTGACTGAGAATAGATTAAGACGGTTACTTTTATGGTTACTTCAGTGATTGAATTCTGTTTAATAAATTGCATAAACTACAGTATGTATAGCATCTCTTTTGTTAGCAATTTTTGTGTCATGTGTGCCTATAATTTTGTAAGAACATATTTTAAACATATTTTAAAAGGTTGCAAAGGTTTTAATACCGTTTATGTTTTATATTAATTTTAATTTTTCCAAAAAATAAACAAAAGAATATCGTAAAAGTTTCTACAGTGAAGAGTTTCTAATACACTAAATATCCCTGGTTCCAGTAAAATAACCAGACAAACCGCTCAATAATTTATTCTGGTTATGTCAACAGGAAGTCTTAACACTTAATGGAGGTCCCACCTACTGCCGTGTGTTACCCTCCTTTTAGCTAGTGGGGGAATATGGTATTATTGTCCTACGCAAATACCAGTAAAAATCCATAGAGAGTGTTTTAATAATATTTATAGTTGCTTGTCTTTTCATAGCAATTCAGTGCAAGAAAAGGGCAACAGGCAAAGTTGACATAATTCCTACAGCATAAAGCAAATGTATAAAAATCCATTTATTTTTTCACTGGAGTAGATATAAAATAGCGCTGTAAGTATGTGCGATAATATAAAAATGAATACGTATACATGTGTAAATAATACAAGAAATACACTAATCACTACGTCTAGTCTCCAACTGCACAAAGGCCTCGCCAAATGTAGGAAAGTAGGGTACACGTCGTGGCACGTGTAGCTAGTTCGAGATAACGAAATGAAAGTCGTCGTTCTTGTTGTTTCATATTCGATAGTACAAGGAAAGAGAGAAGTTTCTAAACCCATAAATAGCTAGCGAGGCGGAAAGTACTTATGCGTCTATTTCTTCTCAGTACTATATTCATAGGCCTACAACAGCAGACACTACTGATATGACATGAAATTCAATGCTTTCTCATTGTACAGTCGCAATAATGGACCGAAAGACACACTAGTTACTAAAAATTCCCGATATTTTTAGCCCCCCTCAATAACTTGAAGAATATAAAAATTACATTGCATAAATTACATAAAATCCTTGTACGTTATAAGGCTCAAGTAGATCTTCAAATATACCTACCCTGAAAAAAAAAATATATAAAATTCCCTGCACAGTTCAAATTTTTTTTCCCCCACTCTGGAGTTTAAGTAGGTACAATTAATCCCAAAGAGAATGTACTAAATTTGTATTTCCTGTCCCCCAAACTGGCTGAGATTTATGAGTGCATATAATATTTCCAGGATTTGTTATACTCAAGGCATCTGAATTTTGTTCCTATGTTTTAAAATATGTGTTCAAAAATGGGAGGCTATGTTATGAATTAAGAAGGATACAATGCTGTAATATAATTCCCGCATATAAAAATACAAGAATATCTTTTTACTGTTTGAAACTCTGTATAATATAAAATTCAAGTCAGTATCAATGAATATATACTGTCCTGTAGATTTTATGATTACTTATATATGTTTACAATAAAAATATTTTAATTTAATAGTGTGATAGAACCATTTTTCATTATATTTTATATTTTGAATAATTTTGTAACTTTTTATAGAACCATTTCTTTTGTACTTTGATCATTATTCATACTAAATATGCTAGGTGGGCAAAAAAGAAGAGCCAGCCTGCAACTACAAAAATGTTGGACGTACCCAAGTTTCGGAAATCAGTCATAACCTTATTGTAAGAAGAAATCTTTATTTGAGAACTAGCTTCATGAATTCGGAAATCCTTTGTTCTATTCATAGCTATGTGGCATTAAATCGAATGGCACTTCTTTATTGTCATATGAGAAAAATTTTCCGCAGCGATCCTTCTGAATATGTGGAGTTAACAAGGGTCTTATATATTCAAAAAGTTTGAAGGAAAGAAAAGTTCCATAAATCTTGCGGCCAAGGGCCTGCATACTCCACAGTTTGCAGCTTAAATTGTTTCACTTTCCAGACAGTGCAGTGTTAAACTCTGAATATTATATTTCTCAAGCACACAGTAAGATCTGCTTGTTAGGCAATTAGACCATCCCTCCCTGAGTGCTCCTATGCAGTGCTGATTGTTCTGTTGTCACATATACTGAGAAGAACATTTACGCCAACTTTCTTCTCTGTGGCCATCTGTTCTGTGATTGTGGGTAGAAGTTATGTGGAATATTATTTTGAGCCTAATATAAGAAAAGTCTGTTTGCTTTCAATTTTGTGGAGAAGTAGTTTTTAGAAATATCATGCAAACTTCAGACGCTCTTGGTATTCTTAAAACTGTGTATTTCTTTAGTAGTAAACTAATAACTTAACAGTAACAAGTAGCTTCGGAGAAAACTAGATAATGAGGAACTTCATAAAGTGTACTCTTCGCAAAATATAATTAGAATGATAAAGTCAAGGGGGGAGGACATGTAGTACGAATGGAGAAGAGGAATCCATACAGGCTTTTGATGGCAAAGCCAGAAGGAAAGAGACTAGTAGGAAGGCGGAGAAATATAGTATTAAAATTGATCTTAGATAAATATAATGGGGTGATATGCAAAGAATTTGTCAGGCTAAGGATAGGGACCACTGGCGGGGTCTTGTGAACACCGCAATGAACCTTAGGTTCCATAAAATACTGAGAAATTCTTGAGTAGGTGAGTGACTAGCGGCTTCTTAAGAACTCGACTTAGTACGTAACTGTAATACGTACCACTGCCTGGCCACTGGAAGGTGAAACATAAGTAGTGCGCAATATAGGTGCACATAATTATGCATCAAAAACTAGACATATTTGGGAGGAACATGGCAAGTCTATTGTTAAAATTATATTTGACAAAAGTATGCAGAGAACATTTTCATTGTATATGTGTTTTATATGCCAATGTGCGGTAAATACATGCATATTATTTGTGTAAATGAGACAAATGCATGTATTTGTATGTGTGTGTGAGTAGTCCATACTGTAAATAATCCTATTATGATAATATTAATTGGTAATTAGTTTATATTTTTATCAATATTTTATGAGCTAAAACAAGTCACAGGTTTGTTTACAGCCTCCTCAGATCAGTATTTGTATCGCATAATATAACCGAATATGTACAGGAAAACTTTTTTCAAAGCTTTAACCTTTAAATTCAAAAGAGAAAACACAATGTTGCATGAAATGACTGCATGGCAGAAGTGCATACCATGCAGCCAGTACTATGTATTCACTCTTTAAAATAAAATTTACAACTGTGTTTATGTAATATTGCAATGAAACCAGTAAATGTCACCAAAATTCGCATAGAAACTGCGATATTCAGTTATAACATGCGGCAGCCATTGTAGTTCTACAGTAAAACAAAACCACGTGTAACTTCCGTGACCCGTACGTAATAGATAATTTCCAGTAATATTTGGAACTTGTATAAATATTATTAGGTCTTTCTGTACAGAACTCCTAGTTAGTCCATAGATTTTTCATACAGTGTTTTGATTTTGTTCCTTTATTTTTTCACTGATTATTATTGAATAGATTAATATTGCTATAGTTATTGTTTTTTACCAAAATATATTTTTGTTTAAAAAGATATTGTTACGTTTGATGTAATATTTCTTAAAACTTTATGGGATGTGGTTTACCTTAAATAATTGCAAGTTTAACACAAAGGAAATGGTAAAAGGTACCTGATGTTTAGTCATCTCTTGAAAGATGGCAAGTTGATTGTTGGTTATTGTTACATAATAATGTTAGGTAAGTGGTTGGAAGTAAGGCAAGGATTGGTAGGACAGAGTTTGACTATGGTCTGTTAATCATTTGTAGGTTCTTCTTTAGTTGAAGGTACAAAATACATTATGGCCGATCATGTCTTAGGAGGATTGAAAATGTCGCTATACCTCGACGCTTGGGGTGGTCCTGATACAGTCAATTACAAATTTACAATTCCTGGATTGTATGTTTGCCTGTCGGGCGAAAATACATCTACAGCTCCTAAACGACAGATCTAGAACAGCGGTTTTTAAACTTCCTGAACTGTGGAAATCTCAAAAGACTCTCACTTAGGGGGCCCACCTTCTTGTCCCACAGACGCTCATTACAAGAAACTTAATGCAGTTGATGATGCCCAATATGACAAAAGACGTTTCTGATACCAGTTAAGTTAATTCATGAACATGGATCATTTTGTCGTGCACCTAATGATGCTTTCCTTAAATATTTTTTTAATAAAATATGTCTTCATTTAATCAACTCCGTAATTTTCGTCTCGGAATAACTTTTAGTTTCCCACTTACCAAAAGTTAAGGACCGTTTCTCTAGATAGACTATCAATGAAGACGTTTTATAATGGTTCTTTTACAGTTTTTAAAAGTTATCTTCACCTCTGTTAATCAGATTGTAATATAAAGATTCATCATCGTTGCAAAAATGTTCTCGTTATGTGAAGAGAGTTGGTGACGGCGAATGGAACCGTGTTGGCAGTGCAGTGAAGATGATAACTTTTATCTTTTTTACCTAACGTGATTTTTCAGTGTAAATATTAAATTTAAAATATTAATTAGTATACAGTTATATATTTCTAGTATAGGTTTTCACGATTTCCTACAAGAGATTGAACACGCGAAAAGTTATATGAGCCCCTTTCTCAACAATGGCACCGCTCGGATGATTTCATGGTTGTGTGAATTTCTGGCCAATCAGAAGTTTTGGTCTTCATGTGAATGATGTGTATCCGTGGGATGTTCAGATGTACATAATGATAAACAGAATATCGGTTCGGTTCCACATTGAAGAGATAGACGAGGAAAGGAGTTTGAAAGACAACTGAATTTTCCGCGACTTTTTAATACAATATATTGGCAAACATAGTGCATGTAATTTTTCTACGGCAGTTTGTGCAATAAGTGGACCCTACTACCCTCGAACCACCTTCTCCCTCCAGATAATAAACGTGTAATTGTGTCGCAGGTAGTTCATACAGTTATGAAAGTTTAAAAGAACAAAAACCAATCGACATATTTTTTCATGAATTTATGGTTCATAAACCTACATTAGTACATAATGAATATGATATAACAATTCTGTTTACAGATATTAATGTCAATAGCCTTTCAGCACTTTGCATACCATACCACAGGCGAATATAATTTATCAGTTTATTGTCACGTTTATTTCTGTACCTCCCTCCAGAAAACGGGTGTATTTCTTCCGCGGTAAGGTGGAGAATTGCTATGCAAACCACCCCGCAAATAACGCTTAATTTTGCGACAGAGACTTGTCGCTAATTATTATTGTAAAGTTGCAGTTTAGAAAACTAAGCTTCAACACTGATTTTTACACCGTTGATCACGGTATGCGACGCTACATTAAGTACATGATAGAGAATGAACTACATGTTATTTTTAGACTTGCTTATAAACAATACAGTTATCAGTGACTAGTTCTTATTGCCCTCATTTTCTGTGTATGCTTCTATACGTCACTGTGAGGAGTTGTGTGAAGTGGCCAAGCGTGATTAGACATTTACTTTTACTTCAGTCTTTCAAGCCATGATGGATGAATTTCAGTACCTCAGAATGCTGAACTACTTAATTCCCTCATAGACTCTGAACACTTCGAAATTACCAAGCTATATATGAACACATGATAGTGAAGAAAACTAAATTCAGTAGCCTATGCTCTATGTTTGTTTTGAGATTGGCGGTCTGTATTTCTATTGATTGGGCTGACACATATGTCACCACAACAGTAACACTGTGAATAACCCAAAGAATAGCACTGCTTCTGGCGCACTGCTTCGCCACACTGCGCAGACTCCTCTCGTGCGTATCTTATCTGTGACAACTCCTGATTAGCTTCACAATCAGATCTGTTATTTAGATGGGTCTAGTAGCTGTTATCCTACTAACAGTAATATCTAGAATACTTCGATTCTTCATACTTAATCGTTCTTGTTGTTTAAATATTTTAAAGTGCATGTTTTAGATGCTATTTCTATTGAAGGACTGAAAAAACGGACTAATTTCATTGGAAAAGTAATTAAAAACCATTATTTCTTTTAATTGTTTATTTATATCTGCGAGCACTGTCTCTATAGTTATTTAATGCTATCCATAAAACAGGAAGAAGCCCAACTAGTGAATTAAATTAAGCATTTTAACAATTTTCCATTATGCATGCTCTTAAAATATTACAATTTGAGTTTACACATTCTAACTCGAATATAATGCACACAGAACTGAGCCCTGACAGACAATACAACTCTACTGGTTTTACTGAGGTGCAGAACTATTGAGGCCCTAAGGGTTTTTATAAAAAAGAAACTGAGGCGTTGTCACGTCAACAAACTGTGATAGATATCAGTGGAGTCTGAGGAACCTATTCTGAAAAATGCCAAGCTGGCTCGAAACTGTGTGCTAACCACACTCATTAGAACCAAATTCACACTTTCGGATTATTTTCTGCAAACTTCATAAAAGCACCCCATGTACCTTCAAATTATTTAATTTGAAATTAAACTATAGTTGTTGTAGCCCCATGTATGTAAACGTGGTGTTAACGTTATATATAATTCTGGAATAAAGGAAATATGTAAAAACAATAATTGCGATAATACAAGAAGTATATCCATATAAATAATGAAAGACGGTTCTTGTGACAAACCTTCTACATGTTTTTAATATGTTGACTATTTAAAAACTGTATTAATCAAGAATCATGTCAGATTGTAAAAGGAACCCATCCCCTCCCAGATGTTGGTTTTTTCTCTTCTCCACTGTAGTTCTAGATACCACCACGAGGCAACGTAGGTGAGGAACTGGCCTATAATAATGTATGTCCGTTCAGTACCTATCTATTATACTATAATACGTGTTTCGATGGTCGTCATGGTGACCAGATATTCAGAACATAATATGATATACACTAATATGTAGTGAGGCCGACAGGATCATAGTGAGAACGGAATTTTCCATCCCGTTATGATTATAATATACATGTGTATAATAGTCTATAATTTTTCATATTGTTGTACGAATTTTTAAGTTTATATTAAAATGTTTTGTGCATTCATAAAAAAGTAATGACTGGTTTTCATGAATCTTCTTTACCTTCCCACTTCCATCCTAACTTCCATCATAAATGCATAAGTAACTGAACAGCTTTGTACAGTATCTGTTCCTGTACGAGTCAAAAGCATAAACAGTCAAGGCGATGCTTCGGAAACGGATTATATCATGTTAAAATAGTCCATATACCTATCAGTGCCCTGTATGAACAATGAAATTTATCATAGTTTTGTAACACACGTTCATGATGGCACTAGGAGAAAAGTTCGTACAGAATTTGATGAAGACTTCTCTTGTAAAATAGTCAGTCTAAATAACGCACACAAAGAAGTGAGATCGTTACGCCTACTTTCATTTCTTCAAAAGAAGGAGAGTTAACTAACAAAAAAAAATCACCTTCTTTCCTTGATATAACATGGACCATACAGAAAACGACGCGTACAGAAATTCTTCTATTATTGCGTGTGTATTTGTTGCCGCGGTAAAGATTTTATCGAGCCGTTGCCTGACAAACGATAAGGATACACATATAAACACACGCACTGATGGTAGGGATTTATGAAGGACGCCGTCGCGAGGTTTTGGAAGGAACCAGTCGTGGTCTAATTCAGGTACCGCCCCTTGCATTTGCGTGGGGGAAGTGAGAGAAACCAAGAAAACAGCCAAGATAGCCAAAATTCCAAATGAGAAGCTTCAGCATTCCCATTATAACAACTTACTAGGTTTTGTGGTCAGGCAAGATACCGTCCAACACACAATTCGGCTCTTTTCGCTCTTAAAAGCCAGTGCCGGGCATGGACTGCTTCTGAGTTCTTGAAATAACTATAGTAAGCATGGCCAAATTCTTCTTCGTCTGTATTCTAAATATTATTCCTTTTTACTGCATGTAATTATAATATTTTCGGATTCTAAATGGAAAATGGAGAATTGGGCCATAACAAAGATAGTGTGTCTTAATTGTGTGGCCACTGTAATCGGTTCAGTTCAGAAAATTATTTGATCTTACTTCAACCATGAAAAAAGAGTGATTATGCTTAACTCAATGGGTATATTGGCAAAACAAAAAAAAAAGCTTGGTTTTAGTTCGCAAGCGAACTATACCGACCGAGAGACCGTCACTTGTTGGCGAAGTTAGTGCCAACTTTAGCGGATAGAGTCACGTGGTCAGCTAACGAATCTCCACGGCCGTTAAGTTCGGTTTTCTAGACCGGAGCCGCTATTTCCTTGAAATAGCTTCTCAATTACCCTCACGAGGCTGAGTAAACTCCGTTCAAGACCCACTACATCTAATAAAATTGGCAGCGCTAGGAATCGAACCCGGACCTCTGGATGTGTAGCCAGGAACTCTGACCACTAGTCCACAGAGGCGGTCCGGTATATTGGCAATAGAGGGAAATAAGGCGAACAATGGTAAGAATCCTGGTAAGAAATTCACGCAGTTGCTGAAGCTAATTAACTGAACAGCCTACAAGTCACATGGTTTTCTGCATGCTCCATTCCGGCTGAAACTGGGTAGAGTAAACCCGTCACGGACAGAAAATCAATTATTTTGGCGCAGAACCGTGGTATTTTGCTTTGAATTAAAAGGGCCGTTACATTTCCAAGACAAAACCTCGTATTTCTACGTCAGTCATGTAAGTATGAAAACCCCTAACTAAAAAAAATCTCAAGTATTAGAATCGACGATTCAACACAGATGATGCCAAAACCCATCAGTTGACATTTCCCAAGCCAGTTTCATTAACCTTCCATGTTCATAATCTACGAGTATTTCCCTAAGAACAATTTCAACAGTGCATATTTTCTTCTCATTTTTCACAGTTTCCAACTGGTCTCTTTCCGAGAAATTTCTTCACCAAAACTCGGTTGCAAATACTCGTACTGCCTCATCTGCTAGTGGTAAAAAAGTAAAGCTATCCCTGTACCAGGCCGTGAAGGCCCATAGAGTTGTGAGACGTTGAGAGTCTCACATTATCTAGACAATCGGCTCAAAGATGGCGGTAAGGTTGTCAGCCTTACGCGCCGGCCGCGCTTTACTCCCCAGGAAAATTATTTAATTAATCCCTGGTACTCATTTCTGTTAGAGGCAGAGTAAACCCCAGGGCCTAGTGCGGCTGGAAGGATTAGGTCAACTGAAGAAAATCCAATGACCTCATTGGGATATGTCTGCTAGTGGTGGTACATGTAATATTTACCTCCTCCAACTACTACTACTACTACTACTACTACTACTACTACTACTACTACTACTACTACTACCACCACCACTACTACTACTACTACTACCACTACTACTACCGCTACTACTACTACTACTACTACCACTACCGCTACCGCTACCACCACTACTACTACTACTACCACCACTACTACTACTACTACTACCACCACCACCACCACCACCACTACTACTACCACTACTACCACTACTACTACTACTACCACTACTACTACTACTACCGCTACCGCTACCACCACTACCCCTACCACTACCACTACTACCACTACCACTACCACTACTACTACTACTACTGCCACCACCACCGCCGCCACCACTACTAACTGTCCTATCAGTAATATTTTCGTAAGCTCTTTGTTTAAATCAATTCTGAAACCAAAATATCCTGATATAGTACTCTGCAAATTGCTGTGTTTGTAAGACTGTAGAACATTAAGAGTTCGTTCGTTTTAGATAGAATACTATATAGACTGCTGATAGTCAACCGACGTTTCTGGCAAAACATTTGCCTCCATCTTCGGAAGGATGGAGAAGGGGGCAACATGTTCCTCTGAAACATCAGTTGACTTTCGACGGGACTGCAAGGTGTTATATCTCAGATTATAGGATTCTTCATAACCGCCACTATGAGATCCTCAGATCCTGCACTACAGAAGATGCATATACAGTAGACCCGATATAAATGGTGTGGAATATTGTAATTCGGAGATGCAGGAACGTCTGAATTTGGATCTCAATCGTAGCACTAGTTCCAGTTACATGTTGACAGTCGGAGAGACATAACCACTTTTACATATTTAATTACAGACCTTACTACGAGGTTCTTCATGGCATATGCGAGAAAATATGGCACACAATTAATCATGGCCAGCAATATTCAATTGTGCCGTGCCCTAGTAACATAGTCTGCTAGGAAACATGGACGAGGCTGGGGTCACGCCGCAGCATGCCACTGAGATTCCTCTGGTGGGCTGGACCATAACAGCAGCTTTTCATTTTGTCTTTATTCCTTCTTCCGTTGTTCCTCTATCACTTCTCCCCTTCCTAGTTACATTCTGTCTTATTAATACGGCATTTCCTTCAGCACAAAAGTCTTCAGAAGCGAATGGTAGCTCAGATGATAAATAAATTGCCCACCTTTTATGGAGCACGAAGATTAACTACTGCCAATAGAAGAAAACACCACTGGCCCATGTACTGAGCCAGATGAATCCAATCGAAACTTTAATATTCTGCATATTTAAGATCAATTTTAATATAATCGCCCAATCTATATCAATGTTTCACAATTATTCACCCTCGCTTAGGTTTGCCGTCGAAAACTTTGTATACATTTGTCATCATTTTCACGAGTGACATATACCCCATACGTTTCATCATATAAATTACGCGATTTTCTTCAGCCTTCTCTCACTCCCGCCCTCTTATCTTCAAATATTTTCTTCAGCACTCTGTTCAAAAACACCAAAAACCTATATTTTCTTTCCTTAGTGTGATAGACCAGATTCCATAACAATAAAAAACAACACGATCTTCTTATGTCGAACAATTTTTTGAGAGGAGGAAATAAATGAGCTGACTTTCCTCTCTGCTGTAAAGAGTTTACTTCTCCGTTACTCCTAAGTTTTGTAAAATCAAAAACAAATAAAATCTTACTGACTTCCTTGTTGCCTCACATATCCACCTTGTAAGGTGTCATAACCTCGTACGGCAACTCCATCAAGCCGAACAGATCAGCTCAGCGCGACCGCCTCTAACGTGTACTCGGGAGGCACCAGGTTCGGACGGTTCGCCAGCTCCCATTTTCCTCAGCCTCTCTGGTGAGCACAGGAATAGTGCTTTAGAATTGTTCAATACCACTCCCTTTCCCCTTCTTTCCAGTTCCTTGTCTTCAAATAATTTACAAATTAATAATGGGCAAGCTATGGGATGTCAAAAAATTATCGTCCTAATCAGTTCTTATTTCATTTTTGCACACACACACAAAATAGTTATGGATTTAACAGTCTTTCTTTATACGATACTGAACACTGGTCTTACAGAACGTACTTACGCATAACTAGGCCAAACACCCTTAAGCTACCCTTAACGAGACCATCAAAGTAGAAGTTTATCGAAAGTCGCTTTTGGGTCTTGCCTTTCCTGCTTCGTATTCGGGAGGTCGCGTGACTTGGGGTTGTCATATTATTCCTAGATCCCTAGGCCTAAGTTTTGGGATTAGCGCCTTCAAATACTCCATAACCGCTTCTTCCCACGTCCATCTCACATTATAATTAAAATCATCCTATTTGATCCATTGTATATAGCTAATATGTTAAATCTGTGAAAACGAAAAAATGAACTAAGAAACAATTCTCGAAGAATAACATTTAGTTTTAATGTGATTATAAATGGAATATTTTAAGAAGATTACAAAGGTAAATCATGTGTCCAGTTTGGGAGGATGTTCAATATGCAGTTACGTACGAATATTTCCATATCCTTGAATTATTCAACAATATTTTTTATTCATAAAATTTCTTCCTGGAAGGGGACTCAATAGAATGACTTACGTGTCGACAGCTGTGCAGCGTGGTATTCTGGGTTTAAAATAGCAGGTCCTGATACTACAGCAGGTAGCAAACTTCATTTCAGTGTCCAGGTCAAGGGCACCAACGGCGGTGGTGATGGTGGCGCCGTCGTCGACGGATCGATGCCAGTCGAGTGCATGTGAACTGCAAGCCCGACACTATTGCAACGATCATTCACATGCTCCGGCATAAGAAATTCGGTGTTC